TTCATACAGGGACCAGAGGATACCTGGGGACAGCTGGGCCATGCCCGCTTCCACCTGTGGATGCAGGTGCACGAACTCCCCACACACCTCCCACATGTGCTCACACATCTGCAGGCCTTAGCATGAGTTTGCATACTTTCCTCCCCATGCTTCCTCTCATGGGTGCACACACATACACAGCTGTCCCTCCCTCTCCTCTTCTACCCTCATTTCCTTAGAATAAATTCCAGACTCTGGGTTGGCTCCTGTGCCTAGACTCAGGCTCTCATGCTCCCTTCCCCTCCCCATTCTGAGGCTTGGGCTGGACTGTTTGTCTACCCGCTCCCCCCACCAGACACTCCAGTAAAATTCTTTGCCCTTCGAGGCCTAACAAAGACAGTCTCTCCTCCAGGAAGCCCTCCTCCCAAGTAATACCCATGCTTTCTCTGGACTTCCTCAGCCCTGGCTTCCCCTTCCCAGCTCTGACCACTCCTCTCTGGCGTGTGTCCATATCTGTCTTCCCTGGCCTGAAATCCCCTTGGAGGCCAAGAGTGGGTCTGAATTTTTGTCCTCAGAGAGTGTTTGATGGGACAGTAGTACCCTTGCTCCCCCACAACCCTCTTGGCTTCTTCCCATTGAGCAACTTAACCCGAGGTGGAAGCAAGAGCCCCCTGCTTGGTAGGCTGAGTTGGGTGGGGAGGAGGGAGAAATGTTGGCTTCAAAGTCCCGTTCACCAGGCTCAAGTCTGAGGGTCTTAAGGGTACCTCCTCTTTACCCTGCAGCAATCTGGAAACAGAGAAACTGTGTGGTGAGTAGGCCCATGGGAGCTTCTGTCTCCTGGGACTTCTGGGCAGGTGGATGGGATGAAGGGCTGTTGCTGGTCTCCTGATGGAGTAGGGTGGGCTGGGTTCAGAATGTGATGCGTGGTTTATTGCTGAGGAATTTCAGTTTGGGTAGATGGTGGGGGTAGGTAGGTGGGGGCAAGGTGCAGCTGGAACATTCGAGGACCTCCTCTTCCTGCAGACTACTTCTCAGAACATCTAGGTGTCTACCGGCCTGTGCTGGCTGCGCTGGAGTCGCTCAACCGTGCAGTGCTCACTGCCATGGATACCACTAAGCTGGTGAGTGGAGAAGCTGATGGTGGGGCCCAGAATGAGGGCAGGGGGTGTTTGCTGTGCTGGCAGAGCCTCCACTATCATGGCTTGGGGCTGTGGCGCTAGAGGCCTGAGTTCAAATCCTGTCTTTCCCACTTTCTGTGCACTTTTACTTCTCTGGACCTCAGTTTCTTCATCTGTAAACTGGGAATAAAAATAGATCCTGCCTCCATACATTGTGATAATTAAGAATGAAGGCAGCGATTTTTGTCTGTCTTATTCTCCATCTTTAGCACCCAGAACTATGCCTGGCACGCAATAGGCGCTTAATACCTGGAGCTGATGCTGCTACTGTTTTTATTATTGGCTAGACCTAACTATTATGGAGTATCAAGCCCAGGACCCAGCAAGGATGAGCTGGGGGTGGGGCATGTTAACATGTGTCCACAGGCCCGTGCTGGGGTGCAGAGCCTGGTGGAGTGGAGCCTGTCCTGAGGATGTGCGGGAATAAATGGGCACGTTGCATCCACGCGTTTTTGAGCACACGTGGACATGTGTGCACAAGCATAAACAGTGCTCACAGCCAGGGCTCCAGGCCCTTGTGTGGTGACTTCAAAAAACCCATAAGCCACCCATCTCTTTGTGTGTTTCTTTTAAGAAATGTCTCCACCTCCCTTTGTCCCATGGTCCTTAATAAGGGGGCTGGGAGGGAGCAGTGAGCAAGCCTGGGAGTGCCTGAACTCACTTTTAACAGAAAGGGAAACTGAGGGCCTCAGCGAGTCCATGATCAGCTGATGACAGTGCTTTCCCTCTGGTTGCTTTCACATGGATTTTAGTAGCTTTTGAAAGGGTTACCCATTGGGGCCTGGCATGGGATGAGAATCCAAATGGCACATGATGAGGGGTTGGCATGTTATGGTGACTTCTGTATCTGCTGCCTATATGCAAGTGTGGGCATCATCTTCCTTATTGCCATGGAAACAAGGCCTGGGTATGGACAGCTGGACTGGCATTCTCTGAGCTGGCACTGGTTAGGGGGAATTCAAACTGCAGGTCCAAGTAAGGTCCCTAGGGGTCTGGACTACCTCCTCCTGGCCCAGAAAGGGGTAGGGCGTGACCCATAACCACACCATGACTTTGCCAGCTCCAATCACTTGAGACTTTATCTGGCACTTGGTGCTTCTGATAGAGCTTCAGCTCAGGCCACCAAGCCTCTGCCACTGGACATGTGTGCGCACAAGCATAAACAGTGCTCGCAGCCAGTGGCACCACCCCCTTCAATCCAATATGACTCAGTTGAACACTTCGTGTACCAGCCTGGAGCCACACTCCTGGTACATGGTCCGGGTCATCCAGTGACACTGGAAGGAGCGCAATGAAGCTACCATGGAGCCACCTGTCCACACAGCTGTGCCACGCCCAGGCTTGGCCACCAGGTGTGGCTTCAGTGCCCCGTAGCCGTGTCGCAGGCACTGGGCTTCCAGCTCCATCTCCAAGCGCTCAGTGAAGCCAGGGAAAAGTGTGGAGCCACCAGCCAGCACTACGGTGTCAGCCAGCCGCCTCCGCAGTGGTGCTGGCACCCTCTGCAGTGCCTGGAAGGCCAGTGTGGGCAGTCCTGGCTCAGCCTGGCCTAGAAGACCAGGCTGGAAGATGGGTTCCGGGCAGCGGAAGCGCTCACTGCTGAGGCAGACGGAACACCCATTGCGTAAGCAGAAACTAGCCGGATGGTGGCGGGCAGGGTTATGGAGGTCACCTTCAAAGTCCAGCGACACATAGCAGCAGTGCTTCTTGAGCTGTGTGATGGCCTTTCGGGGCAGACTCTGCTGCAGTAGATTGGGGCATGCTGCCACCAGCAGGTCCCGCAGGTAGCGCGACAGGGTGGTTCCTGCCACGTCCAGCCGGAAGGTGGCCTTGTGCCACGAGTGGCCCGCGTAGATGGGTGTGGCGTGGCACACACCCGCGCCCGCCTCCACCGCCAGCCCGCTGAAAGTGCCAGTGGAGCAGAGCGCCAACAACGCAGTGCTGGCCATGTGGCACGCAGGCACTGCCAGGGCCTCGAACAGTAGCTCGGCCACCCTCTCGCGGTTAGAGGGTGGTGCCGACGGTGAGTCGCTCACCAGCACCGGCCACCGCTCCGGGTATACCTGCAGGCCGCCGACTAGCAGGCGCTCCCACAGACCCTCCAGCGCCTCCCAGTCGACCACCACGCCGTGCTTGATGGGGTGGGCCCGTGCCACACCGCCCGCCAGCTCGCAGCCCGGCGCCCCGGGCAGCACGGGCCGGTCCCAGCTGGGCACCAGGCTGGAGCTCTTTAGCACCAGGCGTGGCTGATGCTCGCCCGCGAAGCCCGCCTTGGTGAAGCCTGAGCCCTGGTCCACCACTACGGCAATGCGGCCCAATGAGGGCGGCACGCGAACCCTGCGGCTCCCCGATGCTGACGTCACCTTCCCGGCTCGGCTCTGCCCACAGAGACTCGGTCGCATCCCCCACCCCGACCCCTCGCCTGAGGCTCCGCCCCAGCTGGCCTAGTTGGAGGACCACCTTTCAGTTCTTGGCTCTTTGGGCCTAAATCCCTGCTTTGATGGACTAGATAACTATCGTTCTCAATTCTTGGCTCTACTTTCTGGTCCTGAGGTTGGATTCTTCTGGCCAGAGTGGATATCTCTTTTCAGCTTTTGGCTCCGCCCCTAGGCCCGGGGCCCCGCCTCTGGTTCAAGTGTCAGTCTCCGCCTCGCAGGGCTCCAGTGGTTACTTGCCTACCTTTGGCTCACGGCTCAAGGCTCCACGCTCCATCTTGAGGTAGGCCCCACATTCACTCTCAAGACAGCTCTGTTGTGCGGCTCCCCGCCTCAGCCTTGGCAGAGGTGGATGATGAGAGGGCCGGGCCAAATCCTTTTAGATTTTGAGAAGCCGCAAGGAGCAGCTCTGAGAATGAGTGGGCCTTGTGGCAATGTCATCCAGACATATATATCTCCCTTTTGGGGACCTAGAAGTCCAGTCCAGTCCTTGAGTCTGAGGCAGTGTCTTAGACTTCTCACCTGGGCTTGACCAAAGTAGTTCCTGGTTGTGGAGGTGGGAGGGTGTGGTCAGAGGAGGACAGAAAAGAACTTGGATTGGACTCATTGTGACCTCAGTCCTCGGCACCTGCCGTGCTTCTGCAGTCCTCTCTCCCAGCGAAAACTCCCTGGACCCATCCTCTCTCCTTGGACAGGATTAAGGGCAGTGATTTGGACATCAAGGGGTCTGGCCTCAACTGCCCAGCACAGCCAATCTGATATATACTCTAGCCAAGTGTGGGGCTCTTCCCCTCTCAATGCTGAAGAGAGAGAGCTCTTAATCACAGAGGTAGAGTCACTCCGAGGATCTGTGTGTTCAGCCTTGAAGGGCCCAGGCAGCCCACAGAGGGACACTACCTTCAGGGACTTCCACCTGTGGACTCAGGTGGGCCTGAGTTTGTGACTCAGTTCTGAAGTTGACTCACTGTGCACCCCTAAACAAGTCCTAATCTCTTCCTGAGCTCAGTTTCTTTCTCCAAAAGGTAGTAATCCTCACACGCAAAAAAGAGGCCGCTTCAGGCCTCTGCAGAGTCTCATTATTCTCTTTAGGATCATTCTGGTTGCAAGTTGAAGACCCACTTGGGTGAGCTTAACTAAAAGGGATTTTATTACAAGGATCTTGTATATCTTATGGATACCAAGAGCAAGGGTGAAATCAGGGTTCAGGAACAGACTAGAGGCAGTGTCTGACTGTGGGTAACCCAGGATGTACCCTGGCTCTACACTTTTTATTCTTCTGAAGAGTGACTTCAACCTATGCATAAAACGGTCTCTCTTAACTCCTGAATTATAGTCCCAGGGAAGGGGCTGATAGGACCAACTTGGGCCAATGGCTTATGGCCGGGAGGTGTGGCCACACTGAGGAACATGGTTACCCTGATTGTAACCATGTGTATGGTAGGGAAGGGTTGGTTCTTACAAGTAGCAGGGGAGATGCTATGGGTTGTACAAACTCTAGCCTGATGCAGGCAATGTGGAGAGGACATTGATCAGGTTGACAGTGATGAAAGTGCATATTCAGCAGAAGCCAGGCCTGTGGCTTTTTTGAGCTGGGACCTTCACCTGCTGCATCTGCCCCCAAAGGGGACATTTTCAGGTTGGTTTCCAATGGAAAGCAGGCTGCAGGTTTTGAAGGGCTGAGGAGGTTTTAGGGTCTGAAGCTGGGTTTGAAGAGAAGCTGCTGCCCACAGAAATTGTGCCAGGCCTTTCATGGGTGAATTAGGTTGGTGAGCCTCAAACTGGAGACAAGTGACAATATGGCCAGAGCAGAGGTGAGCATGAAAACCACTGAGAAGCCCTAAAGGGTAAAACTGAGTCTTGGGCCTGGGCCTGCATATCTCCCAAATAGGTTTGGGTGTTTCCCTGTGGGCAATGGAGAACCAGTATGAGTTTATAAGCAGAGTGAACTACCCTAAGTGGTTTGGAAGAAGCCTTTGGCTAAAGTGTGGGGAAGGGGATAGGAGGGGGTAGTTGGGGAGATGAATGACTGTGGTGCCTTGGGGGTTACCAGGCTGAGAGGAGTAGGAGTGAGGGGTCAGAGGCCCAGTGACCCCAGCCTCTCTCTTCTCCTGGTTGCACTCACAGGCATAATGTGAGTCTCAGGCCCCACCCCTGTTGACTGTAGGACCCTCACTGTTTTCAAAGGCGGTGTCTGCCCGGACCATCCTTCTGCCTAAGAAGGACTTGCGAATGCTGGGGACTTTTGGAGATGTCAATCTTCTGCTGGATACAGGCCTCACCTCCTGGGTGGTCAAGCCTGGGTTTGCCCAAGCTCACCTCCCTTGGGGCTGTAGACCTATCAGGATCTGACTCAAGCCTGGAGTTGGAGGGGAAGAGGAACAGCCTCCCTCCTGCACTGTGGCAGGGAGCCCTTCCCCAGCTTGGGGCAGGTGTTCTGACCCTTCACAAGGAAGGAGAGGGTAAAAACAGCCTTGGCTCTGACCCATGGCCGTTGGTCCGTCCTCAATTCGCCTGTTCATCTCTGTGACTCTCACATCCCGATACCTCAGTTAACAGGCATCAGGGTTGCTATGCGCTCTTTATTGGACTGGGTCCCAAGCCCGGGGGGCCGGGCCGGGTACTCAGGACCGTGGGCGAGGGCAGCGGCACCGCTTGCGTGGCTGCTCCATGGAGGGGTCAGTCTCGCTACTCGTCTGGTTCTTGGTCACCAGGCGCGCGTAGAGCCGCAGCCAACCCTGCGTGGCCTTGGCCCCGCCCCCTGAACCGGCCCCGCCGTTGGCCCCGCCTGCTGCGCGGCGCCCCTCCTGCAGCCGTGCGTCCAGCAACAGCAGCAAGACCAGGATCTTCTTCATCTCTCTCTCGCGTGCGCCCTCTTGCCGCTCAGCGCCATCGCCTGCACCTCGCATCATGGGTGGCGTTGCCTGGGAGGCCACTTGAGCGGCCGCGGGCTGCGCGCCAGAGTCCGCTGCTACCTCTGCTACCTGCTGCCGCTTGTCCAAGGGTAATAGCAGCACGATCTTGGTCTGGGTGTAGGGCAGAAACGTGAGGGGAAAGAGCGCTCTCCGCCTTCCTCCCGGGGACCCTCACCCACTCTGGTTCTATCTCCCAAACTCTAACCTCTCCACGTTTCTGGGACTCCCACCATCCTCCCAAGCCCAGGATGGGGTCCCTACCCTGATCCATTGCCAGCCCCCCCCCCAGCCCCTTCCTCCCCTGAAAACCCTTACCCACCCAGGCTGACCTCATGAGACCTCTCTGTCCACGTTTATAGGATCCCTGCCTGCCCTCCCAGCTTTGATGCTGGGACCTTTACCCACCACGGCCCTGATCTAGGGCCTCTGGACATTCGAAGAGGGGGAAAAGTAGCATGTTTTGAGGCTGGGGTTCTAAAGGAGGCATGAGGGAACTCCTGGTGCCCATAGGCCTAGTGATACCAACCAGGGCTGATTCCCCATGCGGGACCTCCACCCATCCATCTGGGTTGTGAGACTCTCCTCCTGCCCACCCTTCTGACTCCCAAGTGTCATCCACCTCCTGGTTTCTGGACTCTACCCTCCCATCTGGGCTTTTAGAACCCCATCCACATCCACATGAGTTCCTGGAACCCTCATCTTCAGGAGAGGTTCTCTAACCCCTTCATCCATGCCCCTAGGCCTTCTTCCCACAAGGCCTAGACTCCCAGCATCCCCTCCTACCCACACCTGCCCCTCATCCCCTAGCACTCACCCTTGGCTTCTGCTTGAGGTGGCTGGAGAACTGCTGTTTTCCCCAGGCCTTGTCCATATCAGGTGGCCTCTCCTTGCCAGCCTGCTTAGGCACTTTGGTCCTCCTGTGGGAATTGTTGTTTCCCATGGTGGGACTGGTCAACACTGTGGTCCACGGCCCATGCTGCTCTGCCCTGCCCTCTGGCTGGGGACCCTCTGCCCCAGCATTGTCCCCACATTGTGACCTCATGGGTTGACCTCACCAGCTCCAGGCTCTGAGCTCCTCTAGAACCTACAGGCGAATCTTGGCTCTATTCACTCACTCTGTGACTTCTGGCCCTGGTTTCTCAGCTGTAAAAGGGCTAGTGGTCTTAAATGAGGTGATGCTCATAAAGTGCTTAGTGATGAGTACAGAGGAATTTTGTGGCCTGGGTTTGAATTCTGGCTCTGCCACTAACTAGTTGTGTGACTTTGACCAAGGTAATCAACTGCTCTAGGCCTCAGTCTTCTCATTTGCAAAATGGGGTTAATTAGTTACCATAAGTTGTTAGTATTAAATGAAGTTCTGCTTGGAACAGGGCCTGGCACAAAGTGGGTGCTTGTGTCAGCTGGGTTCTTTGGCTGCAAGCAATAGAAACTGATTAATCATCTTAAACACTCAAAAGGGACTTTATTGGAAGGATTTTAGGAGCTCAGAGCATAGTAAGGAAGTCGAGTAAGGCAGAAGTCTAGAGAGAGGACAGAAACTACTGGCCTGTGTGAGAATGTGAGGACCTAGCCTCCCCTCTGTCCTTGCCTCTCAGCTCATAAGCCTGGTCCAGCAGGGCTCATCTGATGGCTGAGCCAAGGCGGGTCATGGGCAGAAGACAAAGCCTTTGATGGATGGTGATTTTGGGGCTCGTTGTAGAGGGAGGGCAGATACCTGGAACTCCCTGCCCCGCCACCCCTTCCTCCCTACGCCAGCCCTGAGAACCTGGCACTTGGTCAGCCTCTCAGTCTCTCCATCTTGGGAGGGAGCTGGAGGAGGCTAGTGATGTAGGCTGGGCTCAGTGCTGGGGTGTGTGTGTTTGATGGCAGTGACTTGGCTGTCTCGTGTCTGCAGCTCCCAGTAAAAGGTGCTCAGTAAATGTTTGTTGAAGGAGTGAATTATATATGCATGTGTAGACTGTGAGTTTGCAGCCAGCTGGTGAGTATAGGATCACATTATACCATCATTTTGCCTTATGTGTCACAATTGGTCTTTAGATGTCCTGTGACCTGTTCCACTCCCAACCCCAACAGCCTAACTGTGCAGAGGCCTTACTGGATGAAGGTGGTGGCCTCAATATGGAAGGGGCCTTGGGGCCCAGAGAATGTAGATGCCTTCCTCTAAGTTGGCCTCATACTTCCCAGAAAGGGGGGCCAGGCCCTGCTCCCAGTTCCCATGCCCTCCTGCTTATGCCAGCTCTGCAGGCCCTCTGCTCTTTACATCACCACTGTTGCTCTGATGGACAGGGATTGGGGGAGCAGGGGAATGGCTCCCCATTAATAAATATATGCTTAGGGCCAAGAGATGCTGATTATGCCCCTTCTGCCCCCAGGAGTATGAGCGGGCCTCCAAGGTGGACCAGTTTGTGACACGCTTCCTGTTGCGGGAGACAGTGAGCCAGCTACAAGCCCTGCAAAGCTCACTGGAGGGGGCATCAGATACCCTGGAGACCCAGGCCCGTGGCCCAAGGTATATGAGGAGTCCAGACAACCTGTGGGTCCAGTTCACGAATGCCCATTATCTTCACATTCCAAGTCCCTCAGCTTTGACCACATGTCACAGTTTCAGCATCCTGGAGCCCAGACTGTTGTTCTGGGCAGGGAGGCCGAGAAGAGGTGAGAGGGATGCTGGCTTTGAGGCTGGGGCCTCAATGTTCTGGGAAGCCTGTCTTGCCTCGCTCAAGCCTGGCCCTGTTCTGGGGTCCCCGTCCTTGGCCCTGTGGGTCTGCCAGCAGTGGACCAACCATATTTCCCTTAGGTCATATGAAGAGAGAACGGAGGTGCAGAGCAGGCCCTGTGGCAGCCGGCGGGCAGGGCGCAGGGCTTTGCGGAGCGTTAGTCGATCACCCACCTGGTCTCCTGGTTCCTCTGACATAGGTGCGCCTGGGGTATGGCGGGAGGGCTGGCTAAGGAGAGTCCAAAGCAAATGCAGCATTCCCCAGTGTCCCCTGGTGCCTGCTCCTCCGCTGCCCCTCAGTTCAACCTGAGAGACCTCCTACCCCAGCCATGCCCCCATGGACCCTTACCCTCAGGGCGGAGCTCGGAGGCAGAGATGCAGTGGCGGCTCCAGGTCAACCGTCTCCAGGAGCTAATTGACCAGCTTGAATGCAAGGTGAGTGGCCGTGTGGCCAGTGCCCCATGGGAGTGGACCTTTCTGGAGTCTGCCCAAGCCAGGCACATGCTGGGGGCCCAGCCCACACTCTGTGTTCTTCACAGGCCCCCCGGCTGGAACCCCTACATGAAGAGGTACTTACCAAGGGGCCCGACTCGGTGAGTCTGGGAGAGGGACAGGGGGCTGGGTATTGGGCTAGGAGGTGCTCGCTCATGAAGAGAGGGAGTTCACAGGGTCAGCTACCCTCCCACCTTTCCCAGCTTTTCCCCAGTCCTCATCCCCCAGGCCTGGCAGGCAGGTGCTAGGTTCTGGTCTTTGCTCTGTGGCCCCGCAGAAATCACTACTCCTCTCTGGGATTTAGTTTTCCTCCTCTGCCTTCCTGAAAGCTGGCTCTGGGGCAGTGTGGACGGAGGCTGGAAGGGACAGTTAGAAGTGATGGCATACCGCAGGAGAGTGGGCTAGTGACTGGATCAAGGCAGCGACTTGGTGATGAGAAGAGTCAGATGGAGCCAGGGAGGTTGGGGGCCGTACTGGGGCAGGGCCCTGACCTCGGGTAGTCTGGGTCTGGTGCAAGTCATGCCCTACCCCAGCTTACTGGGCTGCCTCTCTTGCCAGCACATCCTTGTGGCCCAGAGGCAGGTGCAAGTGGCAGAAGAAGCCTTGCAGGACTTCCATCGTGCCCTGCGTTGCTACGTGGACTTCACAGGGGCCCAGACCCACTGCCTGCAGTGAGTCCCTAGCTGCCCAGTGGGCTAGCCAAGGAAGGTGGGGGAATGAGCTGGGAGGAGCGCGGGGGCTGCGTGTCCTGGGCCAGGGCTCCTAGTAGATACCCCTGGCTGGGTGGGCAGCAGTGGTGGCATCCCAGGCCTGCCCTGGCCTGGCCCATCTCTTTGGCTCCACAGTGTGTCTGCCCAGAAGATGCTGGATAATGCCTCCTTCACCTTGTACGAGTTCTGGCAGGATGAGGCCTCCTGGAGAAGGTATGAATGGTGGTCTAACAGCTAATGTTTATTGAGTATAAGCTCTGGAGTGAGCCACGCCTGGGTTTAAATCACCCTATCCTGTTTATTGGCTGTGTGACCTCAAGAGAGTTACCCACCCCTCTGAGCCCCAGTGGCCTCCTTTCCAAAATGGGAGTGATAACAGTTCTACTCTCCAATGAGCTAAATGAGATGATGTGTAAAGAACTGAACATGGTGACAAGTACACAGTAGATACTCAATGAATATACACTGTCACCACTGTACCACACCCTGTGCCAAGCACCTGTGCCTTACTTCATGTGATCCTCACAGTAGCCTAGTACAGTAGACACTATTGTCCCATTTCACAGAGGAGAAAACTGAGGCTCAGAGCCAGTATGAGGAAGGACTGATATCTGAATCCAGGCAGCAGGCCTTGGGTGGCAGTGGGGAGCTCTTAACCAAGTGATCTTGATCTTCGGAGGACTAGCTTGAGCCTCAGTCCATTCCACGGCCTTCCCCAGGCACCAGCAGTCTGCCTGCAGTAAGGCCTTCCAGCGCATCCTCATCGACCACCTGCGGGCTCCAGACACCCTCACCACTGTGTTCTTCCCAGGTGTGCTGCAGCTCCCGATCCTCTCTATAGCCCTGGGACCTGGGGAGGGGCAGTGGGCCCCTGATGGCCTCTGACCCCCAACCTCTGACTCCTAGCCTCCTGGTGGATTATAAATAATAACTGAGCCTGACCTGCATTAGCCAAGGACCCTGGGGCCCTGCCTGCTTCCTTCTGGAGTTTCTGGACTAGTCAATTCAGCACCAAGACACAGGACCTGCTGCTCTTACACCTGGGGCCTGGCTGTCAGAGGCCTCCCAGACCAGCTGGTGGAGAGACTCTCAGCCCAGGAATCAAGGACTGGGCTGCTTGCTTTCTGTTTCTTTATCAGTATGTTTTATTGTTTGTAGCTTTGGTTTCTGAGGCCTCTGCCTGGCTCAGGAGGCCTGGATTCTGGTTCCTTCTGCCCTTGCCTCGCTGTGACCCAGGGCAGATTCCTAGCTTCTCTGGGTGGGCCTTGGGCTGTCTGGCTGCATAGTGGGTGCCTTGCTTTCTTCCTGCTGTCTTGGGGCCAGGCTTCTGCTCTTCCTTAACCAGCAGCAGAACCAAGGCTGATGCTCAGGGACCCCCTTCCTCAACCTCGACCCCTGAGGCTGGGCTGGATCCATCTGCGGTGTGAGATAAGGACTTGGGTATCCCTTTCACCCTCCTGAACTGGCAGGCTCCAGACTCTTCCTGCACTCTTGGCTGCACTGGAGACATGTAGAAGATCCTGGGTTGGTTTGCATGTCATTTGCATATCATTTGCATGTTCATGCCCACCCATACTCAGGACTCTATGGGAACCCCAAGGTGATCTTGCCAAGTACTAATAATTTGGGTCTAGAGTCACCTGCTGCCCCAGACACCTCTGAACCCCAGCACAGAGACAATAAAGGCAGTGGTCTCCTCTGGTTTTGTGTCCTCTCTCTCCCTCAGCAAGAAGTCCAGGCTGTGGGGCTGGTTTGCATCTCAGACCACAGACTCAGGGCGGGAAGCCGTTCTTCAGAAATTAACCAGTTCCCATCTTGAGCCCCCTACCTGCAACGGTGAGAACTTCACTGTTGACCCAGGTTTCCTCAATTTCGGGCCCGCTCGCCCCGCACAAACCCTGGTTCTGGCATCTTACCTGGGAAAGGGGAGTGGATATGGTCTCTGCTTTCAGTGCTTTCAAAGTTGGCTGGAGGTTCTAGCTTCACCCCCCACCATGCCAGTAGGGTGTGCTGTGGAATTGGGGGCTGAGCACAGAGCCTTCTCGGGGTCCCAGAGAGCGTGGCTGGTTCTGTGAGAAGACCTGTCCCCAGAGAGAACCTCTCCCTCCATCCCTCCTCACCCCCTTCCAGACCACCCCTGTCACCTGACATAGAGCAGTTCCAGGAAAGTAATGGCTGAGTTGGTTTGTCCAGCCACTGTGGGATCCTCATTCGAGCCATCTGGGGAGAAGGGTCTGGGGGCACAGAGGGAGGTAAGTAACATGGACAAGGGCTCTAAAGGGGTGGCACATGGTTCCACAAGAGAACAAGGTGGCCTCTGACCTGGTCTGGGGTGTGTTGGGGTCAGGAGTTTTTCAGGCTCTGAGGAGGAGAGCTTGCCTTGTTGACTAAAGGAAGCCCAGCAGTGGGCTGATGCTGGGGGAGCGGGGAGTGGGCCGAGGCCAAGGCGGGTAAGAGCAGGGCCTCCGAGGCACTTCGTCCTGAGGAAGCTGTGTAGGTTTTTAGTGAGCTGAGTGACATTTCGCCAATGTTCCTGAATGCCCCAGTGGTGCCAGGTCCTTGCTGAGCACTGGGGCATGGCCAGGAAGGCAGCTCGGATGGTAGCAGCTCAGGGTGTATGTAGTCT